CGGGCCCACCTCTCAAGCCTGTCAAAGTCCCACTGGATGGCGTATTGCAACTTTTGATTTTGGTCTGACAAATACTCAGCTTCTTCAGTACTTGATTTGTCACTGTAAAGCTGGAGCGGCACAGTGAAATGATTAGGCTTTACACATAAAAGTAAAAAGATGAGAAGCTACTGCCAGTACCACAAAAGACTCGCACTTTAAAACCACCTGGCTCGCATTTTGTAATGAAAAAAGAATGAAGAAAAATAAAAAGTTTTTAGAAAGTGTTCTTTTCTGAATTTTCAATTAATATTAATCAAAAATATGAAATGACCTTTAACCTGACTTTCCTTGCAACCAGAATTAAGGTATGGAGTATGCAGAGGTAGTAACAGAAGTGTCTGACCATGAATTTTGATTGATAAAAATACCCGAGTTAAAGTGTGTGATTTTAACCAACTACTTAAGATAGTGCAGTCCCCAACATAGACATTGATTTGCTGCTGGAAGAGTGTTTTCCTGGAGCCTTTTTCCTCCTTTCTAATGCGTGAAGTTTAACTGGCAAAGTACTTCTATACCATACTACCAGCATGCACACTAGAAAAAGCAGCTGCAAGAATTATAATTTCAATTACACTGGTATAATTAACTATTATTAACTTTTGGGTAGAAATCTTATTTAAAAAAAGAAAGTATATCAGAAATTAACTCTAGAAAAAGAACTATATAAGAAAACAAAACTAGAATTAAGGCATATATTGATTTTTAACAAAGAATTGTCACTAATAGGCAAAAATTCTCAACAGAACTTAAATGCTTCCTGAGACTAAATCTAAATCTAACATGCAAACCTAAAATCTCCACTGTCATGCTGGATATACGATTGAACAAAATATTCCAACCTCTCTTTAACATCATATCAAACTCTTCTAGAATTACTTTGTGGACCAATGACTCATTTTCCCAATCAATTTAATTTCTGATCTTACTTTTACCAAGTCTGGCCGCTCATTCTGATTATATAGCTTTTGTGAAAATACTATTATGCTTCTATCATTACAGAACTATGTCTTTCCACCCCCTCTGCTCCCAGGGTGGGGACTATTCCAGCTAGGGAACTCTTACTCTTGCCAGCTAAATGAATCTAACCTAAATAACAATAAATAGCAGCAACAAATAAAGTTCCTATTCTACATTATACTGCGCTCCTCTAGTAAGCATGCTGTCAGAATGGGTGAATGGACAGTAAGTAGCACTGGCTTTACAGCCAGGATGATGTACACAGATTACACATAACCTATTTGGTTGAATTACTGTAGCACATAGTATGACACTGCTTGGTTAGCCTAAGGTATATTCGCAGTTGTAATCCATTACCTGTTGTTGAATCGATGCTGAATTTTCCATGTTCGTTCCCACTTACTATCGAGTATGTGATTTCAGCATTGGCTTCAATGTCCCTGCTTGCAGCATAGATCTGGAGAACTTCAGTTCCTACCAAAATGTCTTCTGATACACTTGCACTATACTCCCTATGCTCAAATACAGGTGGATTATCATTTATATCCAAAACAGAAACTATAAGACTACTTGTTGAAGACAGTCTTCTGGGTAAACCTTCATCTGTAGCCTTCAAAATTAGAGTGTACACAGCTTGTAATTCCCGATCCAAAGCCTTCTCCAACCGAATGATTCCAGAGAATTCATCAATAGAGAACTGGCCCTCTGCAGAGTTCACCAGTGAATAATGGATTTTATGATTCATCCCTGCATTTTGAAAACAATTCCAGAGTATGAAGCAGCCGTTAAAGTACACCAACATAATAAAAGATCTGATAGCTACAGAAATAAAGTATGCTTGCTAAATATTATCGGTCACAATAAAGTAAATTTCGGCAAGACTTAAAGGCTCTTGTGAAGGGCAGAATGATTTCCAAAAAGATGTAATGTGTTTTAAAAAAATTGAGCTAACACTTCATTGCACCGATTTTCTGCCACACCAAAACCATGAAGTGCAGTTCTGCTTCAGTCACAGTACTAGCTAATATGGAACAATTAGTAATATAAATCTAATTATAACTTTAGTACAACAGCATCTGCTTAGCAGGCTTATAAATAACATGGGAGGATATGGGAGAGTTAGGCTGCATCAAATAACTGGACTCAATTCCAGTATGTTTATTTAAGAACCATGTCCCAAAATTAACGGGACATAATTTCTGGCAACATTTCTGTATAAAACAACCAACCAACCCACCCATAGGCTTTTGGGCCAAGTATTTTGCTCCTCCTGAGCCTCAAAGACTAGTGAAGTGTGAAAACATCTGCTGTTACCTTCCAATTCAACAACCTAGCTTTATCATAACACAAAGCAGGTTGGTTGTTTCATGAGACTGAGGCAACTATTAATTAATATTATTTGATTAATAAACTGATGATATATGGAAATCATACACCTTTGAAAAGGCCTTATGCTGTTGTATTCCTTACAGCAAAACCTAAGAACAAACTCTTTCTAATGTCATTTTCAGTTCATGTTCACTTAAATACTTGTAACTACACTGTGAAGATAAAGAGGCAGCAAAAATCTTAATAGGGTAGCATATACTTAAAGCTATAACTGACCAGGGTTCTCTTTATGGTATGATCATTGATGGCTAGCCCATCATGCACACATTCAAAAATCAATGAATGCACAGTTACACAAACAGACATGGCCTGATATTCATTTTACTTACACCAGGAGTAAAAGGTGGCCATAACTCATGATAACATTAATAGCTTATCATGCAAAAAACATCCTATATTTTGTTTCTTTCCCCTCTTTTTTTTTTTTTTCTTTCTTCCAGAAACACAAAAGGAATGTTTTCCAAGCTACTCACACATGAAAGTCAGGTGTTACATGATTCTGTAGCCCTAAATATATCTTTCAGGAGTCTAATCCTGAGAGGTATTGAACATCTGTCAGTTCTACTGAAAGACTTAACACCTCTCAGGATAAGACTAAATAAACATTACTGTAACTTTGAGACCATGACAAAAGTATTGGCCAAAGAATGCATACCTGCATCTGCATCTGTTGCCTGCACTCTTGTCAAAAGGGTTTTAGGCTCTGTGTTTTCAAATACTGTAATGGAGTAAGGATCAGCTGTAAACTCTGGGGCATTATCGTTCACGTCTTCCAGAGTCAGAATAATATTAGCTTGACAGAATCTTCCTCCTCCATCTGTGGCTTTCACTAGAAGATAATAAACTGCTTGCTGCTCACGATCAAGTGGCATTAATGTTTTCAGTTCACCTATAAACAGAATAACATACATAAGTTGATGCGAGTTGCAAGACTTAAGTATCCTTAACATGTTTTCCTCTAAAATATTTTTATGCAGAAAAACTAAACAATGACAATTTAATCAATGGCTAAGTCAATGGCTATACTGCACTTATGAGGTCCACTTTTGCCAAAGCACATCAGTGGCCTGCCTTTGCAGCTTTAAAAGATTAAATACTAAAATCCTCTGCCTTTTTTTTCAAATGTCTCTGAAACAGGAATTAGCTGAAGTAAGACTACCTGACAGTGCAGAGAGAGATTATGTGTATCCATGCATGGATCCATGTGTTTTTGCGTAAAGGAAATGAAAATATTAGAACTCTGACTTTAACAAAATGTAAGGTAAAATCCACGTATGGTTTTCCTAGGCTATTTAGTTGTGTTTCGTCCACAGCTATTGAGCTCACCCTCCTCTAACATTCCATGAATAAACAAGTGCTATTCACACTATCAAATATAACTTGCTGCTACAGACAAACCTCTAACACATACTTTCTTTCCAGCGTGACAGAAAACATTATGACAGGCACAACATATAGCCATTGCCTCCTTTTAACCAATTCAAAAAGTATTCTGAAATATTGTTTATTCTAGCCCCACCAGTTCTGAATTTATATAACAACATTCTAGCACAGCACGCAGGTGACATTCACAGTCAAAAAACCCCATGAAGTAAGATCCTTCTCATTTATTTTGCCACTGAAGTATTCTAATCTCCTTCTCCATATTTCGACTATATCTTTGTATTTATCTAATTTAATTTTTTCTATATTGTTTACTACTCCATTCCTACTGCTCGTCTACTGTAGCCTGCAGAGCACAGAATTTTGGCATTAGCTTTGACCTATATTATAATCCAGAAGACATGAATGCAATGAAAACCAGAGTCAGGCAAGTTAAAATTTGAAGTCGTTTATATAATGCTGCTAATAAAACTGGAGGCACTTTTGGTGTTTACTATGGAAAGGAAATTTGTTGCTCCATCTAACTTCACCCCACCTAATATGCCAAACCAAACGATGGCAAAAAGAAATCTGAATGAAGATATTTTCAGTTTATAAACCATTATTGCTACTACTACAATGAATATAAAAAGTACAAAATTTATAGCATACTTTTACCCCAGTCACTGCAGCATAGTTTCTGGTTTCGGGGCAATTACCCTATTTACTCTTTAGTTCCTCATATATTAAAATACCTGCCTTTTCCCTGACTTCTATTCAATATATTATTAGTATTTGTGTCATCAAAACTCACATTTTAAATAGTTATATAATAAACTAAACCTTAATGGAAAGTTTAAAGTTTACTTAAACATTTATGTATGTCTTAATGTAATACTAAAACCTTTTATAAAATAAGGTGATGACTGGAATTTTGTATAGTGTTGAAAGCATTATTACCTGTGTCTGGAGCGAGTCTGAATTTTTCTGCTCCTGTGCCATGCAGTGTATAAGTAATTTCTGCATTGGAACGAATATCTGCATCTGTAGCAGATACCTGCATGATCAGTTTGCCAGGAAGGGCGTCCTCAGGAACAGAATCAGTGTATAAAGCCTGCAAGATTAAAAGTTACACTGAAAGACTACACATATGAAAATTAGAGCTTGGAGAGGAAGAAGGAATGACAGAGGAGATAAGATACCGTTTGAATGTTTGGTAACATACTAAGTGAACCAGAGGATGCAGGACCTGAAAAGGAAAAGAACTTACGATTTTCTAATTAATTACCTCACATTTATTAGATTTTTCAGAAAGGTAATTACTACTGCAACTATAGGGACTCTTGAGTATCACTGCATAGCTAAGAACTCTAAACACTTGTAACTGACTAACTGATAATTAAATGTATTCTCAAAATATGAGTTAAAATTTTTTGGCAATTTAATTTTTTCCTCTTTTGGTAAGTCATCTTTTCTACGTCTCACTCAATCTAGAAGAAATCGATAGTTGCTTTTTTTTTTGTAATGGCATGAAATAAAAGCATCCAGTTTAAACAAAAACTAAGAAAAAACACCACCCAGAATTTAAAGGGACTAAGCACTCTTACAGCTCACTCATGTCAGGGTTGTGCAGTAAATTAGAAGACTGAGCCTTGTAACACCAATATTAAGAAATGAAAAAAGCTAAAAACATTGACTTACCAGTCTGTATAACTGCAATCATTTATATAGAAGTAACCAACATAAACATTGACTACGAAAAAGAATCAAATGCTCACTGTATACTTGATCCTTCCCAGAAAAAGAAAAGATTTTGCCTTTCCACCCGTTAACATCAAATCTGCATTCAACAAGATGGCTATGAAAAGTCCAAAAAGTGCCAAAGTAAAAAAAAAAAAAGTCCACCTGTCCGGGGTTTTTTTTTTTCCATTATTTTTCATGTCCATTGTTGAAGATTATCAAATCTGGTAAAGTAGATGGCTTTGTAACAAGAAAACACTTATGGATTACAGATTTCCGGTGCTGTTGAGCACAACTACAGGATAATATTCCAGTCTTTTCAACTCTTATCACAGGAAATGCCCAAATACATCAACTAAGTGATGGTCTACAGCCTTCTTTGAGGCTGCTTCCTTCAGAATAAAAAGCAAATAAACTATCATGGCTGCAGCTTAAAACAATTCCTTTTGGAGAAGTATGCATTAACACAGGAGAAATGTACTATAATTCTCCTCATACTCTTCCAATACCCATCGACTGTTAAAATTACATCAATTAATTGGTTTTGGATTTTTATTTAAGAAACCTGTCCATGAAATAACTTTTCTTTGACAGCATTCTATCTTAATAGTCCAAATTTCTGTTACCAGCAAAAAAGGAGTACCTATTTGTCAGTCTCCTGAGAAGCTATTTCAGAGACAGTTTACATTTTACAAATGTAAGCAGCTGGACATGGAAGATACAAGATCATGCCTACCTTTTCGCAAACAGGACTATTATCATTAGCATCAAGGACTTTAACCTCCACCACAGCTTTAGTTGCAAAGGTCCCATCAGTAGCTGTAATATTTAGAAGGTAATTATCCTTTTCTTCCCTGTCCAGAGGCTTTTTGACATAGACTTTCCATTCATTCTGTATATTTTCAATAGCAAACTGTCCCAAGGGATCACCTCCTGAAATACCAAAAGAAACATTTAAATACAAGAGATTGCCACTATTACTCTATCAACATTAAGTTATAGCTAAAGAGAAAAAATGTAAATGGAAATAAGCAGCCACTCTCTGTGGCTTTATAGGGAAATAGTTTCATTTTCCAGGCAGAAATAGTCAGCAGATGCTCATGCAACAAATTTAACTGCAGTCAATAGAATCTATAAGAATCAATGTAGAAATTCACGTAGCAGTACAGACAACATCATATAAAGCCATGTGCTAAATAACAAAAACAATGAAATATTCCACTGGAAATTAATAGTCTATTATTTTTTGAAATTTCTTTCATTCATTCTTTAACTACATCACTAAGTTCAGTGTAAGTATATTTTTTAGATAAAATTTGATATATAAGTAAACAAATGTAGGAAAGCATTTTAAGCAAAGCAAACGTGAAATGGAAAGCCAAAGACCTGTTTTCTAAAACTCATTCTTTCCCCTGAAGTTTTTAATATTAAAGACACACACATTCTTTGTCTGCCACTCTACGGTTTCTAGTACTTTTCAATAATTTAGAAGATTGAAAGTTCTCTCTCACATCATTCCAGGACCAGTTAAATGATTATTCTGACATTACTCAAAAAGATTTACCTGTAATGTAGTAAGAGACTTGTCTGTTGGCTTCTTCTGTATCAGCATCAGTTGTACTCAAGATGGCAATTACCCCACCAGGAGGGTCATCCTCACTGACTGTTCCTTTATATATCTCTGCAGTAAAGCGTGGAGGATTGTCGTTTACATCCGTAACAGTAACTTCAACCACAGCCATAGAAGACAGTTGAATTTTTTCACCCCTATCAGATGCAACCACTGTGATTTTGTATTTGTCTCGTTTCTCATGATCGAGTTCTTTGAGAGTGGTAATCCAGCCAGTTTCCATGTTTATGGCAAAAGACTCTATAATGTCTAGTTCTTGAGAAGGATCCAGGCTGTAAGTAACCTGCCCATTGAGTCCTGAATCTAAGTCAGTTCCTTTCACCTGGATGACTCTTGTTCCAGGTGGCATGTTTTCTACAATGAATGCTTCATATGGATTGGACTCCAAAACTGGTTTGTTATCATTTGCATCTTTTACCTGAATGCTTACCTCTACTGAGGAAACAACATTATAATCTTCATTTGCATACTGTGCTTGAACTGAGAACTGGTACCATTTAGTCGTTTCATGATCAAGACTCTTGTCAAGTTTCAACTCTCCAGTCTGTCGGTCAATCACAAAAAAATCATCTCTGTTGCTTTCAGGAGTGTTCCCTCTAATCAGACTATATACTAAAGTCAGATTATGCTCTGCTTTGATAACATCTATCTCAGTCCCAATTGGAATGTCCTCAGAAACCGTGTAAGAATAAAACGGCTCTGAAAATTTTGGAAGAGGCACTTCTGGTGGGAGTATTCTAGCATAGACAGGAACAACTGACTCTTTTTTGGGGGATCCACCATCGACTGCTCTAACAAAGAAGGTGAGAAACTCATTTTCTAAACCAATTAAGCTTTCTTTTGTAGTAATTATACCAGACAACGAATCAATTTCTAAATTCTCTTTAACATTTTCAGACTCTGCTTCAATAGCATACGTGATGTCTGCATTTGTACCCTCATCAGCATCAGATGCCCAAACTTTAATGACAGAAGTACCCCGTGGAACATCAGATCCAATATTTACTTCATACTCTGTTGCTCGGAATTGAGGAGCGTTATCATTGTCATCTGTAAGTATTACGTTAACAGTACAGAAAGCAACTTTTCCTCCTGAATCTTTGGCCATTAAACTAATGGCAATTACTTTTTCTGCTTGTGTTTCACGGTCAAGCTTTTCAGAGGTATATATCTGCCCTCTCTCATTTGTATAAAATCTGTCTTTGGCAAAGTCATTCACAATGTGGTAAGTGATGTGGCCGTAAGTACCAGAATCTTCATCTGTTGCTTTAACTTCAGTCACCAAAGTATGCAATGGAGCATTTTCAGCTAGTTCAACCTCATATTCATTCTGGCTGAAAACAGGACTGTGCATATTGGCACTGGTTACAGTTATATGGACTTGGGCTGAACTTCTGAAGACCCCATCAGAAACAGACACATTAAGATGATAGTGTGACTTTAAAGTCTGCCTGCGTAGGTTTGAGATGGTGATAATGCCAGTTTTACCGTCAATTACAAAATTCTTCTGGTCGTTGCCTGTCAGAATGGAGTACTCCAGCTTGTCAACGTCCGAACTATCTGCATCTGAGGCTTGCACACATGTCACGAAATGCCCTCGGGGTGCCAGTTCACTAATTTTAGCTTCATAAAGCAACTGGTTAAAAAGAGGGGGGTTATCATTGAGATCGGTTACATCAACAGTTACAATGGTATCACTGCTCAAGGGCAGCATGCCCCCATCTATGGCCCTTACTAGTAACTTGTGTTGTTTAATTTGTTCATAGTCTAAAGTTCTTGCTGTAAGAATGAGTCCAGTGCTGCTGTCTATGTGGAAGTAGTCATGACTTTCACTATTATCCTCCACCAAGTGATAGGAAATTCCCCTGTTTGTTCCAGAATCGGCATCTGTAGCACTCACTTGTACAACAGACGTTCCAATGACAGATGCCTCAGAAAGGGTTGCAGTGTAAGACTGCTCTGTAAACACAGGAGGATTATCATTGATGTCTTCCACTATTATGTCTACAAACACATCAGCATGTGCCCCAGTTAGGGAGTCTGTTGCTCGAATACTGAGTTTGTAGGCTGGATGAGACTCAAAGTCAAGAGGGGCAACAACATTTATAACTCCGGTGTTGAAGTTGATTGTGAACTGATTGAAAGGATCTCCATCTGTGATGCTGTAAAACACCTTAAGTCCTTCCGGGCTGTTTGCTTGTACATGTACCACAGGACTATGGAGCTGAATGTTTTCTGGTATCTCTGCACTGTAGAAAGGCTTTTCGAAAACTGGCATAGCTTTACTCATAACTGTGATTGGGACTATAACTTCAGCAGAAAAAGCAGGGTCTCCTCCATCTTTTGCCACTACTGTGACGAGATACTCCTTATTTAGCGTGTCTAGTTCGAACTTCTTCTTCAGTGAGATTTCACCAGTGGGATCAATTTGGAAGTGTTCATGATGTTCTTTGAGATAGTAATGCACCTCTCCATTTCTGCCTGTATCTTTATCTACTGCAGTGACGTGTTGAATAACATGACCTACTTCAGAATCTACTTTAACAACAGCATAATATGGAAGATTGACAAAAAATGGAGCATTATCATTTACATCTTCCACTGTGACTTTAACTACAATGTGTGCAACAACTGACGGTTTATATTCTTCTGTCACTTCTTTCCTGCTGTTCACGATCAAATGGTATTCCTGTTGTTGAAAGGACTCCTGAAGTTGGACTTATTTTAAATCTGCTGTCTGGATTTAGAATATGGTAAAACAAAGGCTCATTTATTTGATTCCCTATAGCAGTAACAACAGCTATTGTTTTTGCTTCTGTGGAATTCTCCTGCACTGTGGCAGAGTAAGAACTCTGTGTGAACTTCAGTGGGCTTGCCTTACTTTCTTTCACATTAATTTTTACAGACGCAGTGCTTGCAAATCTGCCATCAGATGCTCTCACTGTTAATTCATATCTGCTTCTTAACTGAGTCGTATTTTGTACCATTATATCTCCATTCTTAGGGTTTATTGAAAATTTTTCTCCAATGTTGCCTTCAATAATGGAATAAATTAATTGTGAAAAAATGCCTGAATCAGCATCAGTGGCATTTACGGTTATGACTTTCACGCCTTTATAGGTTGGAACCAAAATAGATGTCTCATACAACTCTCTTGAAAACACAGGAGGGCAATCATTGATGTCAATTACATAAATAGTAACATTAGCTGCATATTCTGCATATAAATGTGGTATCCCCATATCATGTACTTGCACTGAAAAGTGGAAAATATTTGTCTCCTCATAGTCTAGACTCATTACTGTCCGAATGGCACCAGTGCTAGAATCAATGGCAAAATACTTGCGGACAGATGGTTCAACAATTTGATAAACAAGCAAAGCATTAGATTCTTTATCGGCATCTGTAGCTCGAATTACTAATGGGATATTCTTGTCAGTCAGAACCACGCTGTTAATTGAAGCTGATTCACTGATGAGTCCTGTATATTCAGCTTGCATAAAAATTGGTGTATTGTCATTCTCATCCCGAAGATGTACCAAAACTGTTGCATTAGTGGACAAGCCAGCCATGTTTGTGCCCTGCACAGTTAGAGTGTAAACAGGCAAAGTTTCAAAATCAAGTGTCTTCTGAGAAACAATGACACCTGAGTTCGGGTTGATAGCAAAGGCATCACCTATATTACCATCTTTTATTTCATAAACTACGGAAGACTGACTGTATGCTGTAACCATTCCAACAAAACTGCCAATGCTGGCACTTTCACTGATTTCTGTAGAATATTCTTTGGCTGTGAATTTTGGTGAGGCATTATCTGAAACTGTAACAAATATATGCACAGAGGTCACTTCACTCATTGGAGGATCTCCTTTGTCTGTAGCTTTTACCATCAGGTTGTATTCTTCCCGGTTATTACGATCTAGTTCCTTTGCAATTTTAATCATACCCAAAATGGGATCTATAAAGAAGGAATTTCCAATATTCCCTGTGAAGAAAAAGAAAAGTAATTAAGAAAGAGGTATACAGAACTTAAAGGATGATTGCTCATCTAGCTATATACCAAAAGCGATCACGTAGCGAGAACACAGAGAATATTAAAGTTTCTTAGTTTTGTTTAACAAACATTTGTTAGCCTCTCTGGAAAGTTTTCTGTAATCAAGAGTTAGCACTAACTCTAAGTTTACTTGTGGAAACATTGCATGAAACATAGTTAGCAAAGCCACCCAAGCCTTGAAAATACATGCAAAAAAATTGGTTCATTTTCCATTAACAAACCTTTAAAAGATAACAAGTATTTTGCAAGTTTCAACATTATAAATTATGTATTTTCTTCAAATTATCTTTGTCATTGAGTTCATGTTTAAGCCAACTTAAATATCTACTGAAGCTGAAAGAAAATTATATTCAGAAGTTAACATTAGTGGAATACAAGCTACATTTTATGATCTAAAATAACTAGACTGCTTTGAAAAAAAGAAGTTTTAATGAATTCACACTTGTGAATCTTAATTGCTTATGCAAGTATTGTTTAAATCACTGCTTCAAATTTAATCTTTCTGAATTGGACCAAAAGTTATATCTCTCCTAACTTCATATTAATACATAGGCAATTTATTCCCTGTGATAGTATTAGAAAAAAATACTACCTGCCAGCTACAAATTGATAAACATTTGGTTTCTTTATATTTTCAAATATATAACTGAACTACACTGCACACAATATTCAGGGCATGAATAAATAAGCTAAATTTTAACATTTTACTTCCTTAAAAAATTACATTACTAAAGCTATGTTCTCAGCATGGAAAAAATTCATTAAGAACTTCTGAGTTATGCACATCAGTAGGCAAGATGGGGGGTTTTTTTGTGGTTTTTTTTGTTTGGCTTTTTTTTTGTGGAGGCTCTGAACACAGTGGCATTCTTAGAATATCCCATTACAAATCTCAGCAGCCATTACAAACATTTATGGAATGTTCCTTCAATATGCTTAGAATGTCAATTATAATGCTTTAACCTCCCAGTAGATCATGGTCCTGTTGTAAAACAAACCTAAGAAAGTCATACATTTACTCCTACAAAAAGCTCGAAGAAAGGAAGAGAACAGGGTGTAACTTCATTCTAGACAGCATGCACACACATTTTTTTTCTTGCCATCCTTTGGCATTCGTAAAACAACCACTACTGAAATGAGAAAGGCAAGAGAAAGTTTCACGGACATTAGTGTCCTGCCTAGTAAAAAGGTCTTATTTCTACAAATAACGGAAAAAACCCATATATTTTAAGCAACTTATGAGACAAATATTTTTCCTCTTCAGAGTATCATAATCACAGTTTTGTTTTAATACAGTGTTAAAGTATGTTTTCATATCAAAATAACACTTTGGGAGAAGAAAAGGAAAATATTTACAGTAAGCAATTCCTATGCTTTACAAAGCAACTTATGTCAAATAAAAAAAAGCATTTGCGCATATCATCTTGCATGCAACAGTAACAGAATAACTTTTTACCTACTGTTCTCTTTAATATACAGTTTCTTAAGCTAGTTACTGAGTTTTTTATTTTAAATTACTTTCTACCTTGAAAGTAGTACCGGACATAGGTAATGAAATTTAAATAACTTTTCTTTCCCAGTCATAGTGCCTAAATAGTTCAGGACCTTGGTAATAACAGGCTTGTACCTAGATTTAACGGATTGAACCAAAATTCACTTCCACCTGGTAAGCGAACTCAGTCAATGTCATCCTGTTTTCATATTATTTAAAATTGCCATCATTTGAATGTAATTGTTGTAGGCATGTTCAGAAACATACCTTAATGCCAAGTTGACCAGCTATTAAAGAATTTCTTACATACTTTATTGAGCTAGAATAGCATAGTATTTAAAATCAGCCAGAGGGAACCATGCAAAGCAACCCCTTTCTTGCTAAGTCTACCAAAGTTTAACTTAAAAAATGAGACTACTTAGTGGTTAAGTATATGGATACTTATAAGTTATTTCTGAGCTCCTTTCTTTCACATTGTGCTAAACATGAAAGCACTTGTCTCAGGCTCTTACTCCTTTCATCAAAACCTTGCTTTGCCTATGACACAAAATATCAATTAAATTATAAAAAATGCTTTTATTAGATCTGAATTTAATGCTTCTGTAACTTCTAAAGAACACACCCCTCTTAAGGGTTTAAAGGTAGTTTTTTCTTCTACTACTACTAAAATGTTCCACATGTTTCTAAAGGATAACATAAATAGCTAAGGGAAGGAGACAAATATCTGTCATTGTACTTTTAAATGCTCTGAGGCTACATCTTAAATACATCTCACAGAATATGACATACACCTGTACTGCCCTTTTTCATAGCTTTTTCTTTTTTACTTGTCTACTGTTGAAACAGAATATCAGCAAGCATCATTTCAAAATAAACAAGATGTAAGTCAATATACCTGATTCAATAGAGTACACAATTTCTGCATTTTTTCCTTTGTCCTTATCTAATGCTGTAACCTGGAGTACTGCTGATCCAACAGCTGCTGACTCATACACTCGTCCTTCATAGGAAGAGCTGGTGAACCATGGAGCATGATCATTTGTGTCGCTAACATTAATGATGATTCTAGCATAGTTGCGCTTTACTGGAACATCTTGATCTCGAACCTGAAATGGTTAGCATATTACTAGTAATTAGCACTGTTATTTCAGTAGTATATAATATATTAGTAATAATTCAAGGTTCAAATCTGTACCAGTCACAAAGACTGCCTGCAAGCAAATTAAACATACAAATAAATGATTGAACTAAGGGGATAAATTAAAATGATATTAAAAAAAAAAGTTTGTTGACTGCATAAGAAATTTTGTGTCTATTTACCATTACTGTTAGAATATGCTGGTTCATGGTCTCATGATCCAGTTTTTCTGAAGTATAAAGAGAGCCAGTTCCAGGGTCCAGACGAAATTTTTTAAGACTGATGGGATCAGTGCTGCCCTGCATAGTATAAATCAGTTTATTCTTCTCATCTCTGTCTGTGGCACTGACTTGCAGAATTTCTGTCTCTGGTACGGTGTCTTCAGGTATTACAACTTCATATTTTGAAGCAGAAAACTGAGGCCTGTGATTATTTGTGTCTATAACTTTGATATACACCTGAAATGATACAAAATAAAGAGAAAACATTGATATATTTGGGAAACAGAGATGAAAAGAGGGTATTTTATTAAAAATCTGACCATAATACTGAAATAATTCCACTGCAAGACAAGGGTTTTTTTCAGGGAAGGGGAGAGATCTAAGAGGTGTAGGTAAGAACCACCCTCACTAAACCCTAATTTGCCTCACCTTCCCCAAAGTCAAACCGAAAATCTATATGACCAAAAATGCCTTAGGTAAGTAAGGTATCTTAAAGGGAATGATTTTTGTCTAAAGCAAGATGAAGAAGAATTCCTTAGTAATTTTGGAATTTAAAAAAAAAATAAATTAAATATGGATCCCAGCATGGGTAAAAATCCTTTTTATTCATGCAAATTTGGAATTTTAAGCAATGTTTTCCGACATTTCCATCCAAGGCAGCAGACGCACTGTACTCCTCCTTGCCCTCACATGGAAACAATCCTCTTTCATCTCTTTACGTTTCCAAGTCTATGCAAGAATGCAAAAATGGTGGAATTCACACAGAAGTATATTATTTTAAAGAACCACAGGTTATCTCTTCTTCAGCAATGTATCACAATCTCAGCATAAGTAACTGGTCACCAACACAATTTCTCTGAAGTTATGCTTCAAATTCCATTTTCCCACAGAAATTCAGTTGGGTTAACCTATGTGCTATGTAGGCAATGGTCTTTTTGAATAATAATGTTTACTGGAACCACACAAGACCCTGCACACCTACTTGCCTTTCATGGCATCAAACTCTTATATGAAAAGAGTAAGACACTCAGCCACCATCACCAGTGATAACATCAGATGAGTAACAGTAATGAAGAGGACTTCGCAGGTGGATAGCAAAGCTCCAAGAACACATGGCTAAATTCAAATTCTTTATGTGCTGCACATACAGCCATGCTTTTAGCTACCCAAAGATTAGCTGGTTCATATAAATGAGCTAAGTGCCATCAACAGGTGTTTAAGTACTTATGATATCATAAGTGCATTAAATTGTTCTTTGAAGATACTTATTGCTTTCCACTGATACCTGGTGGAAGTATCAGACAAGGTAGCAAGCAGTAGAAACTAGATGAGATGAATCCTGATGGTGGCAAACAATAAGGAAATGCCATACATCTTGCTACAGGAAGAGAAAATTTCAACTTCAACCTTGCAAAACTAGCATCTTATGTTAAAACTTTTACCAAGGAAAAGTAGGTGTTAAATGCATCAAAAGGAGTCATACCATTTCCTAAAATATTTATTTCAAATGCAGTTGTATTATCCCAGGATAATACCTAAGCTCCAATACAAGTTCTTCCTAATGGCAAATTTTAATACAGGCTGAAAACATTCAAATAACTTGCAGACAGACATAGGCAGTCCTTGGATATACTCTACAAATGCTACCAAGGGTTTAGGAGACTGTTAGATGTATTTTATTCTAAGTAACAACAGAAAGACTTTTGCATCTAAGTAATGAAGTCCTGCACCAACCCTAGAGGCAGCACAGGGCAGACTGATTAACGGGAGTGAGAATCTGGGAACACAAAGAACTGGGTGTGGAACTCTGGGGATAACTTTGTATTTTAACATAGGAAAGTTCTCCCAAAAACTGGAATATTGCCCACTCTTCTAGTGGGAATAACTGTCACCAGAAAGGCTATTTTCACTGAGAATTTCACTCAGATAATAAAAAGAACAGACGAGCATATAAAAGGGAGTATAGGAACAGAGTTGAAGATGGCAAATGTGGAATCTCAAGAGTCAGAAGCCAGACATGGAAAAGCCACACAAGGAATAAAAACGGTTTTAAGTTTATTTGAAACCACAAAACAACCTGTGGGAAAGCAAGATCATCAGGAAATAGAAAGAGCAATTAAGGAGGAGGAAAGCCCATCCTAGATTACAGTTTTGCCTCAGTCTTATTCACCAAGAACAATAGGGAGCATGGCCCTGCACAAAAGAAAATAAAAATGAGACACTAGCACAGCAACGGTGCTGCAATAAGCTGCTTAATGGAAACAAATCACCACATCAAGGTGGGAGCCACCCCCAGGTTCTGCTGGACTGCAGGAAAAAAAAAAAGATACAACATGCATTGTTAATAATACTGAGCTCCACCTTCAGATAGTCTGGGTGGGGAGGGGGGGCATGTGCGTGTACATGTGCACACGCTAGTGTCCACAGCCACACACAAGCCCCTAACTTTTTTAGTAGATGCAGTCCTAGGCATTGCAGGTTACTGAGCCATAATCCAATATATAGTACATTTAGGAAAATATTCATAAGCATAGGTGTTTGAAACAGTCTGTTAGAATAAATACAAACTATCACTGTTTCTAATAGGAAAATGCTGCCTCCTACGATTTATTAGATTCCTCAGACAACAGAAGAAACAGAAAATAAACTAATTGTTTGGCACATCAATAAAATCCCTTGCAAGATGTTGCTATGGAAACTAAAGAGTTTGGTTTTGTCACGGATTAGAAACTGATTAAAGATAGGAAACAAAGAGCTGGAATAAATATTGATTTTTCCATGGGGAGAAAAATTAATAGTAGGTGACCTAGGATACATATTAGGTCGAGTTTTTAAATATATTCACTAACAAATTCAACCGGAAAATGAACAGCATGAAGGAAAAAATGTGACTTAAAAAATAACATATTTAAAGACTGTGATGATTAGAGAGGATGTAATAAAGCACAGGGTGGTTGGTTTTTTTGTTTTGGGTTTTTTTTTGGTGTTTTTTTTTAATTCTATATAAATAAAATAGATTGTAATGCATCTTGGAAGAAGAAATACTGAAGGGTCCAATACAGTCACTTACATAGCATTTTAGTAAAGACACCTGCTCACTGAACACTGGTCCTCAGGAAAATGAAACCAAATGAAGATGGCAAAAAAATTTAAAAAAATGCAGAAAAACTCAACCTTGATACAAATCAAACTATACAAATATATTTTGTATAACTCAAAGGTTAAAAGGCCACATACAATTACAACATTTCATTCACGGATATTATGCTTTTAAAATGAATATGTCAACAATGTTTTTATTCAGTCCCGTGTGTCCCCCCCAGATAATATTATGTTTAGACTCACAAAAACAGTAAGTGAAAAGATAAAGTCTCAAATTTGATGGATTTAAACCAAAACTGTTACTTAAGTTCATGTTTATTTCCCTCCAAGTGAGGGAATACAAAAACTGAGGCCAAACCCTCAGCTGAGAGGGAATGGAACTCCAGAGCAACTGCATTAGATGACTCTTTGGAGCAGAGGACATGGCCAGCTCTGCCGCTGGTACTACACAAAATGAATACAGGAAAACAACACTTCTAGAATGGAGCACCATAAAAAACTGTGAAAAGTACTAAGTTAAATGCCAGGAATGTAGTGACTGTGAAATGAACACTGGTACCTGCAAGACTAACCACAGAGCTAATGACCCAGCTTAACTGAGAAGTGATCTGTTGATCGTACCATCAGAAGGACTTATCATCAACTTCTGGTATGAGTTAGTGAAGCAGTTTAAACGACCCTACCACTAAACATATGAGGAGACATTCTACAAAACATACTGTTGAGCTGAGCAGATAAGGAGATAGCTCATCAAAATGCACAGCACTATTAAATATGAATTATTAACGAAAATATTGCTAAGGAATGAACATAATGACTCAGTCACTGCAAGTGGCTTGCTCAGGTATTCCATTACTTGTCAAATTACTTGCTCAGGCATGCAGTTTTTCTGCATACTGGTAAACACAGCTGCAAAACCACAATTTGATCTATTAGTGCAATCATTTTAAGTGTGCCTAAAATCCAAAGCTTATCTTTGACTCAAGTGAAAGATGTTTTATCTACAAACTTTAGGATTCATTTCTCACCCCCTGATGTTGTAATTTTACACCCCTCCTCAGATTCTGGCAGACAAGTGTAACACGAATCAATGCGCAGCCTTTTGGCTAACTGCATGCAGGACTGCTTTAATAAGGGGACCAAACAGGTAGGGGGAATTACCCCCCTCTGTTTGGCACTCAGTGGTGGCACTGTAGATCCACTACAGTTTTGGGCCCTGCAGTGTAAGGGAGAATTTGACAAACTGAAACAAAGCCAGTGAAGGACCATTAAAATCAATGGGGATCTAAAAGCACTCTACCTGCTGTCTAAAGGGAGGGCTGCAGGAAAGAGGGCCAGATTCTTCTCAGAGGTGCATGGTGAAAGGACAAGAGGTGACACTCACTAGCTCCAATAAGGGAAACTACACTCAGAAATAAGAAAAATTGTTTTCAAGGGGGGTCATTAAACACTAACATAAAGACCTAACCAAAGAGGCGGCACCCCTGTCATCTCAGGCACTTAGAACCCGACGAGTTCCTGAACAACCTGATCCAACTTGGCAGAGTTTGCTCTGCTTTGAGCACAAGTTTTAACTACACGAACTCCAGGGGCTCCTTCCAATCTAAACTATTACATAAATGTATTAAGGAAACCCTACTTTGAAGACAGGGTTCCTTACCGATGGTAAGTGACAGGCATGAGATGCACAATTTCCTTTTAAATATAAAAGGACCAAATTTTCATGTAAACTGCTGAGGCCTTCAAATTAAGTGAAATGCACCTGAAGTAATAATTGTGAGTGTAATTTTAAAGACCCACACAAAAAAATACGTGTTTGTGCACCTGAGAACAAAATACATGAAGAATGTCTGTCATTCTAAAGTAACATGTGTAATACAATAAAAACAGCTACATAAAATCTCAGTAAAATTATAAGATTAAATTCAAATTAAATATACTAATATTGTCTCTTAAGAAAAAAGTTGCATATTAAAGAGGCGCACTACAGAAAAGTTTGACATTAATAGGGCATAATGCAATCTCTGAAACAAAATGGTCTGGAACTAAACAAACTTAACTGATTTTGCAAGGCTGTGTTGCCCAACTACTCCCTACTCACAGATCTCAGTGAGAGTGATGCAGCCTGGTTATAC